GGGGGGGGTAGCTGAAAAGCCCAGCATGGACTTGAAGGGTGAGGCACCCCGAGCCCCAGAGCTGCAGAAGGGGCACTATGCCACCTGCAAAGGACATTCCAGCCCAGATAGACCATCTCTGATTACCTTCTGGCGTGTGGTGTGTGACCCTGTGCCTCTCTGGGCTCCAGCTCTCCAGAGCTCTTGTCTCCAGAGGTGTTGCCAGATGCTGGGATGCTGCAGGGCTGCATCTGGATCAAGGTGACCAGTGGACACCACGGGCAGGCAGGCACAGGCCTCCCCACCACTTCCCAGCACCTCCAGCATTGATGCTTTGGTATTAAGGACATTATATAAATAACTAATGTCAATGTGTAATTAGAGAAGGGCCTGAAATAAAGCAGCAGATGAGGCCCCTCTCTGCCTGATGACATAGGACATAGCGTGGGAGAAAGAGACAGAATCAAGGGCATGGAAAAGGGAGCTAGGCAAGAAAACCTGGAGGGCCATGGAGAGGGCACTTCCTTTGGCATGAAGTCCCCTTCTCTGGATGCAGGCTGCAGTTTATTACTCCAAGACTTCAACAGACTGGCAAAGGAAGAAGGAGCTAGCAGAGCTGAATAGAATAATACTCTAAGATAAGCAATTTCCTATCCAAGAAACTCCATTTGGGAAAATTTTACCTTCACAGAGCTTTTAAAATCAGCACTAAAACATCAGGAGTATGGGGGTTTTGGCTGAATTCACTGCCAGAAAACACAGTTGATGCAGAGAAATGTGGGTCTGATCACAAACACGTCCTCCCTGCCCTGATCTACACCCATCCCATGCTGTGTGCTGGGAAGGGAGTGATGAGATTGCAGGAAAAGCAATGGAAAACAAAGCAAAACAACCAAAAACATAATGGGAAGAGAAATATGTCCACAGGTTCAGGAGCAAGACTACATTGGCTTTGCTGCTTCCCACTGCCTGGAACAGCCAGCTCTATTTGTGTCCCTTTTCTCATGCCTCCTTCCACTTTGGCTTTTCAGCCTTGGTCACTGATAGTGAGGCCTTGTCTGTCTGTCTCTGGCTGATCCCTGGGCTCTGGTCTTCTGCTTTCACAGTGCCAGCCTTGTGATCTGCCCCTCATCTGATTCATTTTTCCCCTTCCATAAATCCTGTGGGGTACAAACTGCTGCACAGATAGCTCAGCCCTTTGTGTCCAGGAGCAGGGAATGCTGAGCTGCTCGGGTTCAGCTTCACCCTTGCACTGCTACCAGCCACAAGACCTCCCTGGTGACAGGGAGAGAACAAACAGGGAATTTCCATCTACCCCAGAGAAAGCCTGGAAGTAGCAGTTACTCCATGATGAGGAAGGGGTTAAGTCTGCATTGAAACTCAGAGTGCAATGGAGCTGTAACCACCAGTCTGGTTTTGCTGGTTTGGGGGCAGGTGAGTGGCTAAGAATTATCACCCCCAAACCATAAGAGGGCTGCATTGTTTTTGCCTAAACCCTTTAACTGTTTTGGTGGGTTTTGGGGTGGGTTTTTTTGCCTGAAACTCACTCCCCAGGCTCTCCTAAAATTCAGGCCCATGCTTCCTGAGCAGCCAGCAGCAGGCTCACTCAAAGGTCAGCCTTAGCTGACTTGAAACTCAGCCCGCACTTGCCTGAAACTCTGCCAAGCTCTTCCAAAAGCCTTGTATCCTGGCCTGAGTTTCGAGTCGCTGATCCAAGTCTCACTGGGTTTCAGGTTTCCCCACAAGCTCTGGCTTTGCTCTGCACAAGAACAGCCCCAGGCCACATCTCCTCTGCTGGTGGGACCCTTCCTGTTGGGGCAGGGGTGGCAGCAGGCAGCCTTCCCATGCCAAGGAAGAGGTGGCAGGGCAAACAGGGCACACAGCTGCCTCAGAGGCACAGGCCACAGGTGGGCCTGATTTCCGTGGGCCTGATTTCCATGACCCTGGATTCACCATCCTTGAGGGACAGGTTCTCCAACTCCAGAAGAGCCAAGAGGCTGTGGGGCCACCACCCTCTGCCCCAGCGTGGCCCC